TATATATATATATATATATATATATATATATATATATATATATATATATATATATATATATATAAAAAGAAGAGTAAAGCCAAAGAAATTGCTTCTAAATGAAAATACAATAAAGATCCAGTGCAGACACAAATATACTAGGCTAGGTGAATACTACATCTAAGAATAGTGCAGTCAGTGTTGGGTGGGGTGACATCTTGTTCTCTGTGCAGTCCTGGCTGCTGCTTCTCTGCGGTTTCTCCCCGGCACTTTTATTAATTACAAACATTAGCTCATTCTGGACCTGGCCCGTCTCAACAGCTGCATCTCAGGCTCACCAGACTCTGTCGGTCCTTTGAATAATATGGAATTTAACCCTGAAAAAAAGAAACAGAAAATCAAAAGAAGATTAAGCGCTGGTTTGCATTTTGCCTTCCTGTGTTGGAGGTTTGAGGTATGGCGAGATGGATGAGATTTGATAATGAAAAATTTTTCATCCCCGTTTCCCCTGTCTGGGGTGATTGCTCATTAGCGCTGAGCTGCTCCACTGCTGGCCTGCCTCGGAGGCCTTCTGGCAGGTTCGCATACATTGCGTGGGAGAGACAGGGCGATGGCTCTCTGTGGTCACAACTCTGATGACTGCCAGCGTTTTGCAGGACGGTGATTGCTGGTTGGTCAGCGCTGGAAGTGTCTGTGTTTTGTCAAAGTTGGACCATAGTAATGTGGCAATTTTAGACCTAGGTGTTATAGTTTCCATTAGGTTCTCAACTAGAGTTCTGCTTTTTCTTTGGTTAATCTTCACTAAGGCTATTTGAAATGGTCCTCACCTCATCCTTTCCCTTCATTAATTGGTTTTCTACTGTGGCCTTTAAAACATATGTGTCCAGTCGTTTAACTCGAGAAACAATGACGCATTCAAATTTATATCCCTAACAGTTTTTTTTTTAACGATTCATTTCAAAACTAATATGTCCCAAGACATTTTCTGTCAATATAGATGACTTCACTGCAAGAACTGAAATCAAAATGAGTCAATTTCTCTTAAAATAAGTGAATTTGGCAGGTAAGTGAGACACTTTGCCAATGGAATAACACAATTTACATTCAATGTAAGAGCAAAACAAAAATTTCCTCTTTCAGGTGCATAATATCTAATTACCTTATTTTTAGGGTAAACATACTCATTGCATTGGCAGATCATCTTATTTTCAGTACCTGCTCAAGCTATGGGTAAATACACTTATTTTAAGAAATGTCTATTCATTTTTAGACCATTTTTCCAGTGTATAGCCATCAGCTGAAGCATCATAAACTTTATAACTGAAACATTTCTTAATGTTGCAGGCAAATAAGATAATTTGCCCATTGAATGAGTACTTTTGCACTTACATAACGCTTAGATATTATGCATTAAAATTAGGAAATTAAGTTTTTTTTTTAAATTTATTTTTAACATAAAGCATGTTTTTTCCATTGAAAGTTTTCTTACCTTTAAAATTTAATTGGTCAAGTTTATTTAAAGATAAACTGACTTACTTATATTTCATATTTTCGCGCTGCATACATATTTAACATAAATCATTTTAATACACACCGACACAGTATATAATATATTATTTACAATGGCTCAGCTTAAATTTAAAACCTCAGATGTGTTGCTGAACTAGTTGTTGATTGATGCCTGTGCTACTGGCGTTACCTTTATCTTATAACTTTTGCAATTTCTTCACCAAAGAGTTCAGTAAGGGTGATTCCCTACAGCAACAATAATGTTGGACTTGTACAGCAGTGTGTGGACAGTTAGTAGCTATTTACGCCCCCCTCCATCCATCAACTGCTGTTACAAACTGGTAGGTTTTCTTTTATATAGATGCCACACTGCATATCTTGCACTGCCACCTTGAAGGCAATGTCAGGCCAGGTTCCTGGCCAATCATGTGTAGTGATACCCACTCTGGTCATTATAAGAGGTAACACTACATTGCTACTGTGAAATGAAATCAGTAAAACCAGAGGGAAGCATGAAGAGCTCTAAAATGTCCTGGCAGAGCGGGAAACTGACTTTAACACCAAGCAGAAGACATTGCTCTTCCAATCAGCACAGACTGTTGAACCTGCAGAGTGGATATCAAGCAACTTGGATTCTGTGGTGCCACGTCATACACACCCTGCTTTGTTTAAAAAAATATATAAATATAAAAAATATAATCGCGGAAGTCTGGGGGACAGTGATTCGCCTACATGTTATGAATGCTGGCGTACCATAAAGAATAAATTATGAGCAGTTTAGTTTGTGCCTTCAAGTAGTTTGCCCATAGGGAGACGTTACCTGGATATAACCTAACCAAATATCTTCAGATCAGCTCCAAATGACACAAAAGTCATATGGGTGAGTAGAACATGATGTAA